TGATATGCAGGATATATGATATGCAGGATGTATGATATGCAGGATGTTGATATGCAGGATATATGATATGCAGGATGTTGATATGCAGGATGTAGATACGCAGGACGTATGATACGCAGGACGTATGATATGCAGGACGTATGATACGCAGGACGTATGATATGCAGGATGTATGATATGCAGGATGTATGATATGCAGCTCCAAAGTGGTTGTGACCCCCGCCCAGGTTGGGAACTGCTGTTCTAGGCTGACAGTGTTTTGCTCAGTGTACTGAAGATAAAATCCCACCATCTCTTGACTCGTCTGCTGCTTTGGAGAAGACTGTCATACATGCTGTTCTGTGTACATATGTCTCTAGCATCTCTGAGGGGGCTTCATCTAAGGTTCCTCAGTTTCTTAAGAAGTACTTATTTAAGGCTGGAGAGATGGCTCAGCAGTTAAGAGTACTCATTGACCTTCCAGAGGACTTGGGTTCAATTTCCAGCACCCACATGTGTTGCGATAAATATTTGATATTAATTAGGTGTTGCTACCCCACCTTGGATCATTTAGTTCCCGGATAAAAGATGCAAAAATTTTATATCTATATAAAACTTAATACCACTAGAGCTGGGTAGGTAATCAAGTTATTTTGTCTATTTCCCTGTCAATAACCCTGAGATATGACTTTCTATGTTCTGCCTGGGCCGCTTTTACTCTGATTGGTCAGCGCTCATGGCCAGTTCTCCTGAAGCCTTACCCTATAGTGTCTTCTTTTTTCTCCATCTTCTCTTGTGAGAACTGGCCATGTGGGCTGGCCAATCAGAGTGAGAGCAGCCCAAGCAGAATGTGGCAAGTGATATCTTGGGGTTATTGACAAGGAAGTAGACAAAATAGCACAGAGGGCTGATATCTGCCCAGCTCTGGTTCTGGCTAAGGCTTATTACAGATATAAAACTTTTGTGTTTTTTACTTGGGAACTGAATGATCTAAGGTGGGGTGGAAACCCCCAGTTGATATTTACCACAACTCACACGCTGGCTCACAACCATTTGTATCTCTGGTTGCAGAAGATCCAATGCCCCCTTCTAGCCTACACATGTGGTACACATACCTGATGAGCAAAACATAAAAATAAGTAAGTTTTTAAAAATTAAAAAACGGTTATTTATAGTTCCTCTAGCCCCTCCCTGAGCCATCTTGACAGCTCTCTGTTTATATATGGTTAAAATCTGCATAGTCTCATCTCCTTGATCATATTTTTTCTTTCCTTTTTATTTATTATTATTATTATTTATTATTATTATTATTATTATTATTTTGCAGACAGGGTTTCTCTGCTGTTTATTTAGCCCTAGCTGTCCTGGAACTCACTCTGTAGACCAGCCTGGCCTCCAACTCAGAGACTTACTTGCCTCTGCCTCTCAAGTGCTGGGATTAAAGGCACAAACTACCATTCCTGGCTCAGTCTTGATGATGCTTTCAAAGCTCTTAAAATGTTCTGATGTTCTGATGCTAAGATATTTATAGTTTTTTCTAAAAAACCCAGTATGGGAGTGTTTGTCAGCCCAGCTCTACTGTGCCAGCCATTCTGCTGGCTTCTGCCCACGACAAACCATTTCTTGGTGTAGTAGCTGAAGCTCTTTTCTTCCAGAGCTGTTTTCTGCTTTCATCTAGGGCTTTGCATTTTTCAGGGCCGTGAGGGCTACTCATCCTGGTGTAACACTCAAAGGAAAAGTCTATGGTAATCTTCTATTCCTGTCTCTGAACTACTCAAAAGGAGTGATTTCCTAACGGGTGATCAATACCTGAGAGGACCTGTCAGCAGGATTAACCTGAAGTAAGAGCATGAGAACAGAGGAAGCCATGGTGGCTCATACCCCAAACCCCAGCACTGCTGAGGCAGAGGCTGGATGCCCATTCCAAGTTTGAGGATACCCTGATCTATCTAGTGAGATCTAGGCCAGCAAGCACTACATATTGGGACCTGTTTCAATCCCTCCCCGACCACCAACAGTTAAAATGTTGCCTTTTAAAATAAATAGGGTTTTATGTAGCCCAGGCTGACTTCAGACTCCTTAGCTGAGGATGTCCTTGAATTTCTGTTCCTCTTGCTTCCACATGCCAAGTGCTACAATTATAGGCACTAACTACCAGACCCAGTTGATGAGGTGCTAGAGATCGCACCCAGGGCCTTGTGCATGATGGTTAAACACTCTAGCTCAGCCCCTGTTAGTAACATTTAAATAAATCAAGTTCTTTGCCATCTGTATCTTGGTTTACCTTAAGGAGGATTTTCATGTGGTCATGAAAGTATAAGATATGTAGTCCTTTCCATGGTTTGGTTTTCCAAGCTACTCCTACAGCCTCTGTTGTAAGTCACGAGTCCCCGGGAGACTATCCAGTGGTTATGAAGGCACAAACCTGTGAGGGTCGTCTGGATCACAGTTAGGAAGGAATTGAGTGATTGCTTCTGCTACTTCTTCATTTGATAAGACATCCCAGAGTCCGTCAGTAGCCAGGATCAGCACGTCGTCTGCGCCATGCTCATGTCTGGAGAGATCGTAGACTCTTACCTGAAAAGAACAGGAGGTATCACAATGTGAGACACAGAGGCAGGGGGATGCTATTTTCTGTCTCTAACTAACTGGCTTCTGATTCCAAGCTTTCTCCCGTCTGGCCTAGCATTTTTCAAGTATGCACTATAAGGTATGTGATTCCAAAGCAAGCTCTGTGGATCGGGTAGTCTCTTTCTAAGACTTGCTTACAGACACTTAGGCCCAGTCACAACTGTGAATGACCCTGGGAAGGGCTGCATAATTAACAAGAAAGACTTAAGTTGAGCAGGTAGTACTCAAGATGCAGCTGAAGGGATGATTTACACGTGGACATCGTGTGAGTCAGGAAGAGCACGGGGCTGGCCTGCTCATCTTCCTCTGTATATATTAAGAGCCTATGTATTTCCAAGAGATATAAACAGAAAGAAAAAAAATAGATTCTTCCATTTAAGTCTATAGGGGAGAAAGTCCATTTGGGATTTTAAGAAACCTTTCCATATTCATTTGTCAAGAACTAAGGAGACATATTTATTGAATGCACTCATTTGAAATCCTTCTTGCCTGATTCCCCTAAGGCCAAAGGGCCCAGAGCACCCTTCCCTTCCCCAGCTAAGGGTGAGGGTCTGATACTACACTTGGGTTTGATGAACCCCCAATCTGGGCACATTACAAAGACCAAAAGCTCAAGCATGCCATCAGACAGGTTTCACACAGTCTCTTATATCCAACATTGTCCAATATACTCTTTACAACGGTCAGAGCATCCCTAGAAAACTAGAATGAATTAAGAGATCAACTCTACAGTTACCCTACTTGGACAGGGCTGGTGGGGGCAGGGAGGAGCAAGAGAAATTTGGAGGTTTCATCCCTGTTCCTTCCTGATGCTGCAGTGTTGGCCTAATTCATGGACTGAGGACAAACATCAGCTTCCCCTCTCTCAACTCCTCTGCCCCTCATGGCTCGGGAAAGCTTAGGGTAGATGTGGGAAGAGGAAAAGAGAACATGGCAGACACTGCTGCTCTGATGTCCCTTCACACTGGTGACACTAGTGGCATCTGGTCATTTTAGGCACAGACAACAAGCTTCTCAGTGGTCTACCAGATGGCTCAAATTCAGTCTTTGTTTCAGAACAACTAATTTGTCTATGCCAGTGACATCCTTTAAAGGACTGCTCCTGTGGGCTAGCAGCCAGCTTGGTAGGGTAGCTGAACCCTGAAGAATGTTTCACCACCGTGAAAATGAAAAGCAGCCACATGGGCCAGGCCTCTACAGTCCAGATGACAGTAACAATTAGCTAACAGCCCAGCACATGAGGCCCCTCCAGGGTAAGGACATGCAAGGGCATACTCTACCTGCTTTTAAATACATTTTTCTTGAAAGGTATGCTTGCTTAGGATTGAGTTGACATTTTGGAGAAGGTGTCAAGCCTTCCAAGCCAGTGGAAATGGAGTTAGTGAAGCTGAAAAGGTAGAACTGGAGTTTTCAGATGCCCTTTCTTGAGCCATTCATTTCTTATTTTCCTTCAATGGGAGACCCCCCCCCCCAAGCATTGCTTTATTTTCTGTGGTTGCTTGATATGCCAGAGCACATGGAGCTCCAGCATTCCCATAGGGAGTTCATATAGGAATTCATATATGGAGCATATCATTCCTCAAATATTAGTGTGTAGACCAGTTAGCTGGAGAACTTGAGCACTCACAGATGCTTCTTAAGTTCTGGGATGGGCAAGAGAGCTGCAGTTCTCCAGGTGATGTCAGAGATGCAAATACTTGGACCATACATTGAGGAGCAAGGCCACGGGGGACCTACTGAGCCTGGGACTCAAAGGCTCTCTAAACTCTGTGACGCCAGACACAATTTGTTTCCTAAGATTATTAAAAGGGCCATACATGTCACTCCTGGGCTCCCAACTCTAAGTCCTCCCTTACCATGTTAATTCCATGATGTGTTCAATGAGAGCTGGATAGTTTCCAACTGGCTGATCTCCAATAAAGCTACTGTGATCATCTGAGTTCCACTGAACAGGCAATAGTAAGTAACGGGAGGTGGAGGGCATCAGGTGGCTCAATCTTACATCTGTAGTTAAAAGGCGCTTCCGTCTGCCTTTTGGCCCTTCCTAAAACAGATGTTTCCAGGTCTGAAGACAATATCCAGCCTCTGTATCTGCCTTGTGAACAGGGTACCCAAATGGTTTCAAAATGCTTTCTGCTGATCCAAGAAGTGGCAGGTTGATTCCTTCAGTCTGAACTCAGCCTACCCAGTAGTAGGAAATCTGGCTACCAGAACCACGTGAGTTCACACCAAGATGGTTGAAAATGCTGCCGCTCAAGTCCATCAATAATTGGAATCTTCAATTCTATTTGCTTTTCTACTCACAGCTCCCTAATGTGGTTTCAACAGCCAGCACGAACATCCCTTTCAATACCATTTTCCGCATAATTCTTATGTAAAGAATTCAAAGCCAGTAGCCACCCCATTCCTAGGGCGTCCCTCAATTAACAGCCTTTTAGGTTTTTACTGCTATCCTTTGTTTCCTGCCCTTCAGCCAATTTCCAAAGGACTTTGCCAACTTTCCACTTACAGCTCGAGTCCTGTACATTAACCTATGATGCAGAACGCTCTGTGAAAATGCTTTCAGGAAAATTGGACTGGTGTGCAAGCCATCCACCCCTGCACTCATCCTTGTTGGCAACCAGGGCTTCAGTGAATTCTAGCATTCACTGCAGACCTCATGTTCCCTCCCTGAAGTGGCTGCTGGCCTTCTTCAATCAGAAACCCTTCCCTCCCAAGGTTTCTCTGTTCATTTCCTGTAATAGCTTTTAACGTTCCTGGAAGCCTCACATGGATCTAGTGGGCTCTGAGGCTCTGTAGGACTAAGACATCTATCTGGAAGAATGTTGCTGCAGGCATCTGAGGGGTGAGCTACAAGGTGCATATGAGAATACCTTGTAGAAAAGAGGCTAGAAAACATAGTGCGTGCTCCTAATGGCTGCTTCTCCTTGTTCCAATCTACCAAGTAGGGAGGAAGGGGCCACTAGCAGCCTTGGGAATCTTGCATTAAGTTGGAGCAATTGGCAGAAGTTCTTTGACTTTTTAAGGGGCTATGTCCTGATCAATTCATTATTAAACTGAAGATATGGTAAGCTGCAAATGCATTTAGTGCATATAACCCACTATCCATCACAGGGGAGCAATGCTCTTGTAACCGTGGCTGACCAGGCACTGTGCCCCAGTGTCACTGCCCAGCACCGAGAGAGAATATTACATATTACACTGCATCATCCTATTACCCAGGCCAGAGATCAAAATTCAAGATACAGTTGTACACAATCATCGAAGAAGACAATCCCAAGCCAAAGGCCATCTGTTATCTAGACAGCGAAAGGACCATTACTAGTTATCTCCTGGCTACTAGTACCTTTGGGTATCTGCTGTCACTAGATTGAGCTGATAGAGTCCTCTGCCTTGATGACTTATATATTGAACACTCACTACGTACTATACCCTGGGGAGGTTAAAAAAATAAACTATAGACCCATTCATAAGACCCCATTCATATAGATCCATTCATGGATCATAATGTGATCCATCAGGCGTAGCTTGCTAACTCTGACATGACCAAATAGTCACCAAAACGCAGCAGGCTCTTTAAGCGGCAGTCAACTCTTGCCTTTCCTCTTCTATACTCAAGGAACATACTCCGTTCAGGGTCAGCGGAATGAGTGGGAAGGAGCCTTTGGCTGACACGCCCTGGAAGAGCTGAGAGCTGGAGGCTCACAGAGCTCACGCTTCCTAACATTTAGAGATGACCTTACTGCCAACAGTGATTCCCACTTGACACGGGAGCCCGTGGCTCTTAGTGCCTAGCTGCAGGCTGCTATTTCAGCATATGTGCTCCCTTCTTTGGCCTATCAGTGACATTCCGGTGGCAGCTAAGAGATCACGGTTCTGTAAGCTGACTCAGGTGTCTTGAAGTAATTTAGGAGAGGCATCCACCAGATTCCCCTTGTCAGTGATCCTTTGCTTCTCTGGGATACCTTTACAGCTTTTGCGCTGGGATCAGAGGTGCGAGGTGCCTCATCCAAGCACCTTCACGGCTTTTATGTCTTTATCATCTCAGCAAATCTGTCCAGCCCTTTTCTCCTCCTGAGTATTCAGGGTGGGACAATGACAAGTTCCTGCGGCTCTATGTGGCCTGTGGATCAGAGCAAGGGGATGAGTCTTTGGGACTTACCAATGTATTTGATATAGGTTTCCTGTAGTCCATGCTGGCCTCGAACTCACTGTGTAGTGGAGGATGACTTCACACTTGTATTTCTGCCTCTGCATCATGGGTAAGTGCTGGGGACACGGGTGTGCCTTGCTGTGACTGGTTTTGTGCAGTGCTGTAATACTGGGGATTGAGCCCAGGGCTGTGTGCAAGCCAGGCCAGCGCTGCCCCAACGGAGCCAGACACTTCTGAGATTGGTTCTTTTTTAAAGTGAAAAGCGTTGGAGGGAAATCATGTTATCTTTGCGCTAGTCTTCTCATGAAGCCCTTATGAAGGTCAGGGGAAGGGGACCGAGTAGAGGATCTTCAGAGCTCTGCTCTCGGATGGCTCTGCTCTCATAGCAGTGGCACCAAGGATGTGTTGCTTGATGGGGAGAAAGGGATGAGTGTGCTCTGGGAACCTGGGGTCCAGTTCCAAAAGTCTCATTCACTACAGCCGTGATGAGGACTCCCAGTAGTGTCACTGGCAGAGGTAGTTCACAAGATGACGACCACCGTGGGGCAGTGGGAAATAAAAGCTTCATGAAACTCATCCTTCTAGTCAATCCAGAACTAGAATGTGTATGGTGCCTGTACCGGAAGGACGCTGCCGGCTCTTCTCCTTGCGGATGCATGGATCAGATAGACTGTCTTAAGACTGACACTGTGTCATGCCACCAGGACCGCATCCAAATTCTCTATAGCGGCGGCTCTCAACTTTCCTACCGCTGTGACCCTTTAATACAGCTCCCCACGTTGTGCTGACCCCC